ATTCTGTATTCGATTCTCAAGTTTATATTAAATTTAATAGGTGGGGTATATCCCACCATCATTTTTAATAGTGTTTCGAACCTTATGTGATTCTGTTCGATTCTATTCGATTCCAATTTTCAGAACCATAGTTAAAACCAGTATTGTTTTAAGGAAAGTATATAGACTTTATTATCATAAAAACAAAAAATTTTTTGAGAACATCTGTTTTTTGGGTTGGAAAAAGGATAAGCAAAAAGAGTTTTATTTAAATATAAGATTTTAAATTAATAAGATTTTTATAAATATTTAGTTATTATTCTTTAAAATCACAAATACAATATATAAAATTTTGTTAAAACATATATAATTCAGCAAAAATATATATAAATTTGACAAGGTAATATAATTTAGTAAAGTAATATAATTTAGCAATATATCATATATTTGACAAGGTAATATAATTCATTAAAGCAATATAATTTGACAATATATATATATATTTGGCAAGGTAATATAACTTGGCAAAAAATAAATTATTTATTTTACTATTGAAATATTAACTTTTGATAAAATGAGATTTAAAAAAAAGTATATTATTTATATACCAAATAAATTATATACTATTTTATGACCAAAGATAAAAGTTATATAAATTTAATTGATTAGCTGAATTATATACTTTTTTGATAAATAATTAATAAGTAGCATTATGCCAAATAAATTAATTTTAACTAGTGATAATAAATTATAAGCAATAACTTTAAAAATTTTTTGAAGCAAATATATTAAAATAAGCAATTTTATTTATTTTCAAGATTATATCTAAAAATACTTTATTTAAAATAGATATTCAAATATTATATTTAAAAGTTTGTATATAAAAATAGTTAAATTATTATATATTTTTATATTAAAATTAAATAAACTTTACAAATATTTGTTTAAATACTTGTGGATTAATAGAACAGTAGATAGTGCTTCCAAATTATTAAATATATGTCTCTAATTCAATATTTATAGAAGATAAATTATATAAACTTTATTCTTTTTATTTTATTATTATATACTAGCATAATTGACTGATTGAAAATTATTTCTATAACAATGTTTATATTTATCTAAGACAATATTACCTAAGACAATACTATAACATATTGATTTTTAGTAACATCCAACTCTTATCAGGATTATTTCAAATAATGATGTTTACTATAACTTGTTTCTAATTTATATTAAGTATAGAGATTAATATACTGAATAAAGAAATCCTTTTATTTAATTAGTAGTGTACATGTTCACTAGTAACTTAATTAAACTTTATTTCTATCAAAAAGAATTAAAGAAAAGTTTTTGAAAAGAAGCATTAGGAATAATGTCTTATGGCAAATAAAGTTTTATAATCACTACTTGCTCTATTAATGATAAATCTTTTTACAATTAATTATCTATAGCTGGACTAATTATTTAATTTCTTATCTGTTCAATTGATACCTAAAAACATTTAAAATAAACTTATAACTAATTCTTACAACTTAAATACTAACTTACGTAACTTTGCAAGAAGTAGATTTTATTGTCAGATGCCTTTTTAAAATAAATACTATCAGATTGATTTATTATTGGATTGAAATAAGATTAGGATAGGGATTTGTATGAAAAATGTCAAATATTAGAAAAGTGATCACCTATAGTTCTGAAAATTGGAATCGAATAGAATTGAACAAAATCGCATAAGATTCGGAACACTATTAAAAATGATGGTGGAGTATACCCCACCTATTAAATTTAATATAAACTTGAGAATCAAATACAGAATTGAAGAGAATCGTTAGGATTCTTATGATCACCAAACCTACTTGTTAAAAGTAAATACTTTATACATCTTGCAACTTTTGGTAATTATTATAACACCAACCAAATGATTATTGTATCACAATATCTTTTCTGAAAATCACAATCTTAATACTTATTGAATCAATGTATGAAATAATTTTTTATAAGAAATAATGCTTTTACAGATTATAATACCAGATATCATATTAATTTTATTCAATTGTCCTTATATAGGATTAAATTGATATTTTGTGATTTGACCTATAAAGTATTAACCTTTATACTATAGATATACAGATTATATAAACTTTACTTTTTATAGTAGATTTACTGATTTTTTTATATATGTTATATTCAAATATCTGGATTATTTTCAAATTCAATTAGATTGTATAAAGATGGAAGCTCTAATCTTTTTAACAATTGCAGACTGAAAACAAGTCAAAGCAAGAAATATTGCATAAGAAAAGACTTCAGATTTAACTTTCAATATAAGTTCACATTTTTTTTTTATTTGATAGACTTTATAACAAAAAATATATTAATTTAATTTAAGTAACTTTGAAAAAAATTTCTATATGAATATTAATGTATAAATGATACTAATGGCAACTTTATAAGAATTATATTTTGTTTAATATTCATATCTCTAGATTTGATAATTTATATTAATTAAGAGCTTATAGAATATCTATTGGAAAATTTAAGAAGTTGTGTTTCATTTGATTATTTAATTTTCAAATTTGATAATATGTATCAACTATAAAATTAATTCTTGAAATATTTATTAGAAAGTATAAAGAAATAAGTCCATAAAGATACTATAACTATATAAGCCAAAAGTGTAAAGGACTTGATAAGAATTAATATATTAATTAAGGTCAATCTTATATAAGCATAAACCAGAATATGGATATATTTATAAAGTATTAAGTTGGTATTCTAATAAATAGAACAAGTAGTAATAGTTAATATTAGCATTAGTTAATATAACTGTTTATATACTAGTTATTTGTGATTTTATAATTAAACAATAAAAACTACACATACTGTATATTATACTTTAATTCTAAAAAAAACAAAAAACAAATACTTGTTTGATTATATGAAAAAAAAATTTTTAATATTTTAAAATTTTTTCAATTATTAAATTTTTAAAGTATTTTATTAATAAAGATTTTTTTTTGAAAATAATTATATTACAAAAATTTTTAATATTAATATACTTATTTTTTATTATTTATAAATATTTTTGGTTATAAATATTCTATTGCTTTGAATTCATAAAAGAGTTAGCAAAAAAAGGTGTTTTTTTTTGACAAACTTTTTTTCTAAAATGTTTTTTATTATTATAAAGACTTCAGTTTTTTTAAACTTTAAAGAAAAATAATATTCCAACTAGAAAGTGAAAAAAGATTAAATAATATGAAAGTGATATTAAAAAAGTTTTTTCTTTATCCACTATAATGTTTAAAATGTATATATATATCACTTTGAAATAATGATTAAAGACCAATAGAACGAGTGCATAATAATAATTATAATATTTTAATTATTATTATTTCTAAGAATATCAAAAATAAAATACTATTTATCCCTTAATACATTTTTTAAATACTGTATTTACTTTTATAATCATTTTATTTGGTGATCGTTTAATAAATAAACAATATGAAGCAATATTTAAACTAAAAATTGATTTCCAATATAAATATTTTTGTCTCTTAGTACGCGCATCACTTTAATTTGCCAAACCAATAAGAAATCTGCACAACCAGTTATTATGCTTTTGCTGTGTTCTATATACGTTTATTTTAACGTATTACGAATGTGATATTTTAAAGATGACATGAGACAACAACAAACTAACAAGTTTGTATATATCCAACCATGTCACTACGGACAAACTAGTCCAGTCTCAATGTGTGGATGGTACTTTCGTCAACGAACATTTATTCCTATTGGGGGTTTTTTTTTTGAATATTAATCAATTGAATTATTTTTTTTCTTTAGTTATTGAAACCAATTTCAATTTTTCGTTTTTTTCACTCTCTTAAAAGCAAGTTTGCTTCCTTTTTTTTTTTTTTTTCATTTAGCATTCTCAAGTGTCCATCATGATGAGAATTTAAAAATTTTCAATTCTATTTATTCCCTAAAGCATCTGAAAAAGATTAAATGTAAAAAGATTAAGTTATAGAAAAAAAGAGAGAGAAAACTTATAACATAAAATACTACCAGTTGAACGGTGTATTATTAAGTGGAAAATCATCGATTGGTTGTCCTGGATATGAGTACATAGCAAAGTTTTCGATGGCGTGCATAATACTCTCTATAGGATTGGGTTCAACAGCTTGGATAAACTCGCAATCCGGACAAAACCACTGACCCGATGGTTGTTGTGAAAGACCAACACATTCCCAGTGATACCACCCAGTTTCGCACTACATAAATTGATATAAAAAAAACTTAAATCTACAATTTGTTTAAACAATAAAAATTTATTATAATTTATTATTCCTTACTTTAGGATGATCACACTGAACCATATGGCCGAATTCGGGCTAAAGGAATGACAATTTGAAAATGTTAATAGCTATTCGGTGAAGACAATTTATGGCGAGAGAAAAACTTACTCGTTTGCAAACGCAGTATACAGGTTCGTGTGGCTCGAATTCATTTTCTAGAACTTCTTCACTATTAAATTTTCATACGCAAAGTAAGTACTTGCATACGTAAAATCGCACAAGTGAAGAAACTTACCCTGCAAAATATTCGATCGATAAGATCACGTGATCGTGAAATGGTGTTTAAAATTGGAGTTAATAAATAAAACGCATACCATCTATATGTATATTGTTACGAGCCAATTCTTCGTCTAACCTCTCAAAGTGCCTAGTAAGCTATTAATGAATAAATAAATATTGAGCTTGTAAAGTTACAATACGAAATGGTAGCCGTTAAAACTTACCAGGTTATAGAAATTATCCGCAATGGCAATTTTTTCATCCTGCTTCTGCAGTGCTTCTTCAAAATATTTCTGAAATACCAATATACATATATATTTAGAATTGGCACAAACAGTATTTCCAAAAATACGTTTTTCTCTAATACATGATTCCCATCACTTTTTCCTTACACGACTGTGCCACAACCGCCACGTGTCAACTTGGAATACTGACAGTAAAACGTTGTGCACAGTTTTTTCTTCTTTTTTTCCTCAAAACGTAATATATTCTTTCTTTTCAACTTTACCTCTGCCATATTTTTCCAATAACTAGAACTTTTACCGTCTTCGTCTTTCTGGTCAGAATCTATGCAAGCAAAATATTTCTCTTGGCATTCTTTGCAAATCGCACTTAGCTCTAAAAAAATTTTATAGAGAGAAAATACGTAAAGTAAAGCACGTGTTAAATAAAATCAAATGCATATTTTACGAGGAGAAAGATACCTACTTTCGCATTGTTCATCCAAATGTCGCAACTCTTCCAGATTCGCGACTACTTCTGAGCTTAAGTTGTAAATTGCTGTTTGGATAGTGAAAAAAAAAAAGAAATAGCAATGACAAATAATTTAAATAAGGAGAACTTTTCAAGTTTAAATAAATAAAGTAAACGAGAATAGTGAGAATAAGAAGCTGATCAGTGGCTAAGCTTTCGAGAGGGTAAGTGGAATCGCAAGAAAAAAAGGTTAACCGAAATAAAGACGGACATACAATCAAGGTAGTCATCAAGAACTTCGGAAGCTGATTTTAGTCCGTTTAAAACGTGTCCTTGTTCAAAATCGCTAGATTCTGGTTCCATTTAAGAGTTTTTTTTTTTACTTTATTTTATTACGTAAATATTATATGTATATATATAGACCGTCGTTAAGGTGCGAAGGAAGAATGTCAAACGAAAAAGCGAGAAAAAAAGGAGAGGACAAAAAAAAAAAAAAAAAAAAAAAAGTCGGATTATAATAAAAAAATACGTCAGACTTCGTGTATGTCACTAAAGTTACCTTAACTGGTGGGTCGTGCGAAATTTTTTCCCGTGTTAGAAAATCAATTGGTAATCACAAAAAAAAATTTTTTTTTTGATAACGTCATGTACATATAGATAGTTTTCTACGCATATGAAAAATCAAAAAAATTTTATTCAAATATTATAAAATGTGTTAAAGTGATATCATCGAGAAGGAACAATTACGTTACTGACTTAATTGTCAATGCGTAACCTTCGATCGCATTGTTAAAATGCACCCGTTCACTTGGATTACGTAACTAGATGTGTTGATAGATTGATGGATTCAATGCAGGGGTGCAGTTTAACACACGAATGAGCAAAGCATCTTTTATGAGGATGAATGAAACCGTACAACCTAATACTATAACCATTTTATGCGATTACGTGGTCAACAATAAGCAGGCCATAGACTTCTTAAAAAGACGATAAAGAGTTGATGATTTTTATATAATAATAAAAATACGGATTGTAATACATTCTACATACACATGTATGTTTATATTATTTTCAGGTTATAGTTCATCACGCTTGGATTCAGCTGAGGTTGTCGCTGACTCCGCAGCAGGTGATGATGGTGATGATGGTGATTCTGTTTCTTCAGGAGTGGTGACTTCGAGATCGACTTTGTTAACTGCATTCTCGTTAAGGAATTCGATGAAGCTTTCCAATGCTCGATCACCCTTATAATCAACGATTTCTTTATCTCCGGCTTTGAAGAGCTTGATCGTAGGGAAACCACCAATTTTAAAAGTAGCTGCGGGCGGGAGGTCATTATCGTTACAATCCATTTTCGCGATCACTATCTTATCTTTAAACTTGGAATAAGTTTCACCCAGTTTTTCCCAAATAGGAGCAAGCTTCTTACAATGTCCACACCCTACACAATTATTATTTGATATGAGTGAGGATCTTTCATATTAGATGAAGAAAAAACAAAAAACACTTACATGGAGCATAAAATTCGACAAAGACATCCTTGGTTTTGTCATTAACAATTTCCTCGAATGTATTGGCCACCACAATAGTTACAGGTCCATCGTTCTTTTCCGGAATGGGTTCAGACTTGATGCTTGGTTCGATTTCGCCTTTCACAAATTTGGACACAAATTCGGAAATAGCTTCAGTGGTGATCTCCTTAGTCTGATCGAATGGATATTTTAAGCCTTCATCCGGTTTCTGAATTCCAAAGGCCGGCCATTGTTGTTTTAAATTAATATTTTCTGCGTGCGCGCCATATTTATTGCCATCTATGTAAACAAAGTTTACTTGACCCTTATATTCTTTTGCAATCGGTTCGAGAACTTTACCAAGACGAGTGCGTTGTTCGTCATTTTCATAAAACAGGAATGCCAAAGGTAGACCCGAATCAACATATGATCCATAGTTTTCTGGTCCGATCTCTGCCAATAACGGTATGGAATTTATCTTAATGAAATCAGTGAGCTTTTCTTCATCAAAAGTGCCTTCCAATACATCCTTGAGTTCATCAAATTTCTTGTAGAGAACTACCGCCGGAGCAGTAACTCCAGCTTTGACAGCAGCTTCATCTTGTCCCGTTTGTCCGAAAAGATAGTCATTGCGTAGTTTCTCCGCGACACCGTTAAAGATATCATGCTCGTTTTGACTTTCGGAATTCCAGAAGCCGATAATGACTATGTCATCTGAATCCTTGAAGGTGTCGAGGGTTTCAACAGTGACATCGGACACAGCCGGTAAAGCTTGTCTATTTTTTTAAAAAAAAAAAAAAAATTTTTTTGCAATCAACGATAAGGCATATGGATGGTTATATTACTTTTGTAATTCTTACTTCTTCATGTAACTGACGATAAGATCGGCACTCCTGCCACCACCGTATTCTGTGGAGTTACCTTCTCGGAACACTTTGAGGGTAGGATAACCTTTAATTTCATGTTCGTTACAAAGGGCAGTTTCTGCAGTACAATCGACGGTTGCAAGTTTGATGTTTTCCTTTATCAAAACATTTGCCGCCTTTTCGTATTCAGGTGCTTTTGAAAATAATTACATTGACGTGAGAACTAGGATGTGAATTTCCAAAGGACTATGAAGATGAAATGCATACCCAAAGCTTTGCAATGACCACACCACGGTGCAAAAAATTCGACGAGCATTAGCTTCTCGGGGTCGACAATTTCCTTGAAATTTGCATTTGTGAGGGTAAGTACGGCAGATGGCGTCGTCTCATCGGCCGAAGCCAATCCAGAAAAGGCCAGCAAAACCCCTATGGCTATGGAGGTGAAGAAGCTTTTATTAAACATTGAAACTAGGGAAATTTGGGAGTGTGCGAGAGCACGATGCCCTTTTATAATGGATTGAATCTGCATAGACTTTGTTGTCAATTCTTGATTGGATGTACGCAAGATTATGCGTTTAATGTTGGCTAAATTAGTCAATCCATTCGTCTTACCTTACTTTCCTCAAATACAGATTACATTTTTAACAATAACGAAACTAGGAAATTTTAATATCTACTACAGTACATTCACGCTATATAATTTGGCATGATTGCTGTTAGGACGTTAAGACCGTGTTTTATAAATTACACTGGGTTGTAAGTCCTACTATTTAAGTAAAAGTTAATTATCGTATTTCTTAAAAAAAAAACTATTGTCAACTGAATAAACAAAGATCCTGTAATTGTTAAAGTAACTATTCATTGAACATACCATGTAGATCAAGAATAATCGGGAGCTCGAGATAAACGTATAATCGTTTTTTTTTATATACGATAAATAGTATAATAAAAAATATATATATCAATTTTCAATAAAGCAATTATTTGTTAATATTAATAGTAAACAGATATACAATCAAACCTAGATATAACGAACCTGTTTATAACGAAGCTATAATAATAAAATGCTGGTTAGAACGAATTTTTGAATTTTGAATTTATTATGAAAAAGGAATTTTGTTATAAGAATTTTTACTATCAGCCCGAAGGCTTCGTTATACCCAAGTTACCCAAGTTTGACCCCGTATGTATTGTCAATTGGATGTTTTTTTATGGTAAAAAAACTTTGTTATTAATTAATTTGAATATGAAATTCAATAATAATAATAATATATTTTAATATAAAATTAGAACTATAGGTAAAAATAATTATTTGTAAAATTAGTATTTTAAAATAACCAAATATTAATTATATACAATAAACCACTGTTTATATATCATTTTCTTATGTTTATAACTAGCATTTTATTATGGCTTTATCATAAACAGGTTCGTTATATCTACGTTTGACTGTAATTGAATTTAAAAAATAAAATTTTTAATCTTTTATTTACAGTATAACGATAATTTAAATTATCTAATTCCAATGAGATTTTATAATTCAAATCAGTTATATTGTGCGTATTGATAAAATATCGTGATACAGATTTTCATCTTAGCAGCTAAAAATTGAAAAGCAAAGATTAGCACTTCGGAGAATTGCTAACTAAAATGTCAAATAGACGTCATTCAAGAACTTCAAGCGATCAATGGTGTGTGGGATGGAATTTTCGTTGTAGTCTGTTGAACACCAACTAATCCTTTGTCTACTAATTATAAGGCGTCAGTACAACTTTTTTGATGTCCAGCAGATCAGAGATCCATTAGATCCCACAAAACCACCAGCAATTTTTCAAGTAAATGAAAATTTCAAGGATCTAACTTTATTCATAGTTTCCTTAGGCGATGATAATAAACCTTCGTCTTTCTAACCGTTTTACAGAAGCCAGACATAACCTCAAGCACGAGTGGTCGTGGAAGTATTATCTTGGCTGATATCCTTTTTAGTTGATTAGTTTATGACAATTTAAAAATTATTCCTATATTATGCTTGACGATTAAATTATGCGCGCTATAAAAAATGCGCATATTACAATTTGTCAATTACACTCTTCCGGATATGTATATATAGTCGATAGAACATTTAATGTCCAAAAATTTTTGGCTTATGAGGGTGGACGAGTGGCACACATGAAGCAAATGAAACAGAAAAATATTCTATTAACGATAGGCGTATGTTTATGCTAATTTTCCGTGTAAAGCTTTTTCTCTACACTTTTCTGGTTTAACGAATATCACGTGTATATTATAGGAAGAAGATCCACCAGTCATCAAAATTTGGGATCTTGATAAGCAAGACAAATCAAAGGGCACTCCTAATTGTCAACGTACAATTAAGGTGAATCATGGAGGAAAACCATTTCCAGTTTCAACGTTAGCTGTGTTGGAAAATTTGAGTCAAATCGCCGTTGGCTTGGCGAATGGGGTGGTGGTTTTGATCAAAGGAGATATATATAGAGATCGTTATACGAAACAAAAAGTAATTCACGAAAGTGATGAACCGGTAACAGGTAATATGGTCTTGAAATTAATGGCATAGTTTAAACAACAAGAATAGAAAGTTCACTCTGATGTGTAATAAGGTCTTGGATTCAAGGAACACAACAAGAATGTTATTTTATTTATTGTGACGACAAATAAAATCTGGACTTGTCTGACAAATAATAGATCGTCTGCGGTAAGTTATTATGCAAAAACGTTAAATTTCCATTAAACTTTCAAATTTTAACTTTATCCTATAATCAGACAATTCTTGATGACCAAGGTTGTGGTCTGGGTTGTGCAGTAATAAGTGACACCACGAATGAGATGGTTGTCGCAAAAGACGAGGTTAGGATGCATTAACTTATAACACATCTCGTTTTTCCGAAATTAAATAATTAATTAATCTCAAGTTGATTCACAGGCGATTTACTTTTATGGACCTGAGGGAAGAGGATCGTGTTATGCCTACGAGGGTATGCCTATTTTATATTCAAAGAAGTCGGATAAATTTTAAAAAAACATTTTAATTTATTTATTTACTAAATGTAGGAGCTAAATCGTTCGTGACTTGGTTCAAATCAAATCTCATAATTGTCTCCCCACCCGCCTCCCAACCAACCCGACTTACGGCTTCAACGCGTTCAGCATTATCCATCAATCCTGGAAATCCTTCTCAACAATTTGCACCTTATGAACTCACAAAAGTAACCATATTTGATACCACGAACAGATTTATTGCTTACATGGGAACATTTTCTCCTGGTGTACGAACGATTACATGTGAATGGGGTGGGATTTATATTCTTGGAATGGATGGAAAGGTTGGATAGAATTTTTTCTTTTGTTCGTGCACTGTATGTCGCAAGAATTGAATTTAACCGGTGTTTTCATATTGTCTCTAAAGTTATATCGTCTAGATGAAAAAGATACGCCTACAAAGCTTGAAATATTGTTTAAGAAAAATATGTATTCACTTGCCGTCAATCTCGCGCATAGCCAAAAATATGATGATGCAAGTATCTCTGAAATCTTCAAAAAATATGGGGACCATTTATACAGGTTTTTATCAAAAAAATAATTAAATGTACAATTCTTTATTCTCGAATGATTAATGACTTAAAATTAAAATATAATTTAGAGAGGCAAAATACGAAGATGCGATGACTCAATACATTCGAACGATTGGTCATCTCGAACCGTCATACATTATTCGAAAGGTAACTAATTATATGCTTAGAAAGTTCAAAATGTTGAAATGTTGAAATGTTGAGGCTTACACAGTACAATTGAAAAGTTTCTAGATGCACAACGTATCCATAATCTCGTTAACTACCTTCAAAAATTACATAATCATGGTTTTGCCAATGCAGATCATACTACCCTGTTGTTAAATTGTTACACGAAATTAAAAGATGTGGCAAGTCTTGATCAATTCATCAAGGTTCGTTTCGAAAAAGTTACTTGCTTGCTTTAAATCGATTACGATGTTATTTGATTTTAATCTTTGATCACAACAATTAGACCGACAAAGAGCTTACATTTGAAGTGGAAACAGCGATAAGAGTGTGCCGGCAAGCGGGGTACCATGAACATGCGGTATACTTGGCCAAAAAATTTGAACAACATGATTCGTAAGTATTGCGCTTTTTTAAAAATTAAAACATGCATCTTATGCAAATGTATTTATTTTTAATTATCCATTTTCAAGATACCTGAAGATACAGATAGAGGATGTCAAAGATTGTCAAAATGCATTAGAGTATATTCGTAAATTAGGACCTTCTGAGGTTTTATTAATGGCTGATACATGTCAAGCATGATATTTTTTCATGAGAATTGACTTTAAAAAAATTCTATTTTTTAGGCAAACCGTAATTTACAAAAGTACGGGAAAATTCTCCTTAACCATCTTCCACAACCCACCACACAACTTCTTATTGATCTTTGTACCGGCGATCTATTTTCGACTGGTCAACGCGCTCGGACTCCCGAAGGAGCCCAATCTTCTGCAATCATAAATACATATGCTCCGAGTCTTTCATTTTTACTCGGACCTGTGGCTCAGTCGGCTTCAGCACCAAATCCAGAAGTGCCCGATGCTACAATAACAGACCAACAGGCATCCTCATCATCTAGTACTCGACCTTCTAAAGATCGAAACGTTGTTGCCTATAGGCCACCACCCGTGCGTACATTCATGTCATTATTTATTGATCAGCCAAGTTACCTTATCCAATTCTTGGAACAAGTGTCGCAGAAACGCTGGGGCGGTTTTAATTCAACACGTAAAGTCCCAAAAGTCGAAGAAGCACTTACTGCAAAAGGTGATAATGGTTTACCAGGTAGTAGTAGTGCCGATGCAAGTGGCGAGGAAAAATCCGCATTTTCAAAGAAAGCAGAAGAACTTGATTCAGAAATTGAAGAGAAGAAGGCGGTTTGGGATACTCTCTTGGAGCTTTACTTGTCTGAGGCTTATTTGCCACCAGTTGAAATGGGCAGAGAAGGTAAAGGAAGAAAGTATGGAAGCTTTGCAGTTTCCACCGAGATGGAACGCGTAAAAGAAAAGTTACTGAGAAAAGATAAGGCCTTGCAATTGTTGAAAGACAAGGACGTGAGTGAACTACGGAATTTGATTCATCAGATATCATTCGATACTTTCTGTTGACAAATGTCGATCCATGTGATGTAGGTTGCGTATGACACCAACCAGGCACTTGTGCTCTGTCACTTGGCACAATTTGATGAGGGCATTGTTTATCTTTACGAAAAGATGAAGATGTACGAGGAAATACTGAGGTTTTTCATGGCTAAAGACGATACCAAAAAAGTCATCCAAGCATTAAAAACATATGGGTAGATAGATTTCGCGTATCTACTCGTATTATTATTGTCATTATTATGATTGATCATGAATAATTTACTTCATACTATATAGCCCGCAAGAACAGTCCCTTTATCCACTCACGTTGACTTATTTTTCCTCCTCACCAACAACCTTGGCCTCATCTACTCCTGAACTTTTGGAAATTCTCGACTATATTGATGCACATAATTTGTTACCGCCACTGCAAGTTGTTCAGGCTCTTAGCCAAAATTCTGTGGCAACTCTCGATATGATCAAGGGGTACATGGGACGAAGGATTGAGAGCGAAAGGAAAGAATCTAGGGCGGATCGTAAGCTGATAAAAAGCTATCGGGAAGAGACTGAAAAGAAGAGGCATGAGATCGAAGAATTGAAGACTGTGTATGCATGCACTCTTTGTCACATTTTGCATTTATCACTTGATCTTCGTGTTGAATCACTTCGCGTTAATAAATCACGCCTCTTTAGTGCACGCCTTTTCCCGTTGACAAAGTGTACGGCTTGTCGTGAAAGTCTCGATCTGCCCGCCGTTCATTTTCTATGTCGGCATTCTTATCATCAGCGGTGTGTAAAAATTCGATGGTGCTTAAATTTTAATATTTTCTTGATCTCTGACCGAGAATTCTACCTCATGTAGTTGCCTGCCTGAATCCGATCGCGAATGCCCGGAATGTGCTGTTCAACATCGTACAATTGCTGAGATAAGAAGATCACAAGAAAGAAATGCGGACAAGCATGAAGAGTTTGCCAGACAGGTATATATAAAAGATAATCTTGTTGACAGTTGGAGATTGATGCTTTGGACTGATATGGATCTTACTGTTTTCGAATTATAGATGGAAGAAGCGGAAGACGGATTCAGCGTTGTGGCTGATTACTTTTCCAAGAATACCATGGCTTTTGCCAAATTGATTGATTAGTGAGACCATGCAATTTGTGAAATTTATTTACTAATGTATATTACTTGATATGCGAGGGACAATTGTATTTGTAAATTACCTAGACCATACTTTTTGGGTTTATTAAAATATACAAGGGCCGGTAAAATCCGGTTCTAACTGTCGTGCACAAACAACCTCTGATATGTAATATCATTCCGAAATGGAATTAGATAACAAAATTTTCTTATTGCTAGATTAGTTGAGGTTGATATTTTGTACCACGGAAAATTTCTACAAAATGAAAAATGCCAAAAAAGTACTGACAACAAATAAGATGGAATTTGCCCAAAAAACCGACTCCGAAAATCCTTCTCTAACAGACCAACTATACAACGAATTCATCCAGAACGGACTTAATACACTTCCCACGCTTTCAATAACACTCAGGGCTCCCAATATTTGACCTGCTTGTGTGGGTAATACGAAAGTCGTAAATAAGCTTCTAATTGCTGGGGATGCTAAAGTGGCCAAACTATTAATCACGCAAGCAAAATAAAACATATTCGGTGTTGGTGCAATTGCAAATAGTGCAAAACCAACCACTTCCATGGTTAAGCCAATTCTCATCATGAAAATGTCGAGAGCACGAGAATTTGACGAAAGGTATCTGGATTGTAAGACACGACACAGCGGTAAGAGCAAGATTAATGCGGTAAAACGAGTAAAAGCCTGAAGAGAAAGAAAATATCCATTTTCTAAAAACGACCAATGAAACTTATCGGCTGTGTACAGTACAATAATATCATTCTGACCTTGTTAAATGAAAGGTTGATTGATTATGTTAACGTAAACGGAATACTACATCATATGATTTTAGCCTAAATTCGATACATACCAGCTTGTGATAATCTATATATTAAGTAAATGGTAGAGAGAATATATAATGCGTTTCTTCCCCTCCACGAGCTTCCTTCTCTAACGTTCACCGGTGGTTGGGTAAGTATGGTTAATGAAGAGTATAATTGCCTTGGCGATGTTGTAGATAAAGAAGACGATTCATATCTCCGAAGACGTAATTCTTTTGAAAGGGATTCGGGCAGGATGAGCGTCACGAAAAATAAAAATAAAACAAGTCCGCACAGCACGATGTAAAATAATGATATAACCGATTCCGCATTCTATTAGAGTGACGCAAGTGAGTAGAGATACACAACCTTCTCTTCTATTGATTACAGAAATCATACCTTTTTTATTATGTAACCACCCAAGGTCGGTCCAATTGTCATTCCACAAAAAGCAAAAGCATGCATGAATCCAAACGCGACACTTCGATTCTCAGGTTTAGTGCAATCGCTTAAATAAGCATGACACGCAGTGTTTATCGCGATTATACCGCCGGATAATCCTTCGATCATCGCACCAAGAAATAAAAATTTACTACTAACAATTCTCCAGTAATAATACACGAAAATAATATTGGAGTATGCTATCATTATGCCAATAATTGAAAGCTTAAATATAAATCGACGACCCTTGTAATCCGAAAGTGTTGACAAATAACCTATTGATAAAAATGCTGTGAACAAAAAAAAACAACAACCAAAAATCCGATTAATCGAGGTGCGAAGTTTAAGCACGAAGGTTTCTATTAGCCAACCTGCAAAATATGATACCATCTGATACAATTTTAAACATCCGGCAGCCAGTGCCAATACTTCTGGCATTTTGCAGTCTTCCTCACGTGGTAATCTTGAAGAAAAAGTAGTATTTTCCGAGTAATATTCCCAGCATTTAATGTCTATAATGAGATGCACTGGGTTGATAAGAAAACAAAGTCAATAAACGCGTTTACCATCGAATTTATGCGAATGACTCGAAGTAAAAGCGATCGACTAACCAAGAGGTGCTATTGTCGAGGTAATAATAGTTGACAGGGAAATACTAAACAGTATCATCCACAGAAAGTGTGGCTTTCTTAAATTCTCCGCACATGTTGAGGGCGGTTCCTCATGATGAGTGGTTATTGATTCATCAGGAACCAAAGGATCGTTTTCTGTGGTATCTTGTAAATCAACATCAACCGAAATATCAGACGACGACATTAAATCAAAAGTAATGAAATTGACGATCAGATCATGGAGTAGTATAAGTTAGACTGATTCTGTCCAACCTCTTACGCGAACATGCCTTCCGAACCAAGTACACCGACTTTTAAAGTTTACACCTCCACACACCCGTTTTTAAGTCAACCAATACATTTCCAAATAACGACTTTCGATGAATCTGCCTTTATATGGATTGGTGCTGAAGGAAATGAAGTTTTGGGAAATTTGGCGGTTGCAATGCCACCACCTCGGATCTCGAATAGTAATGGTGGTGTCAATTTACCCTCGGCAACTACTATAATGACCAAGGATATAGATGAAAGTTCAAAACAACTCGGATACAGACTTTGTAAGAACACTTCACTTCAGTCTTTTTATAAAATTTTCAAATTCATCCATGGACAAATGTGATTCACTATATTTCCTTTATTTTCCCATCGATTCCATATACTCATATAATAGCGTCTAAATTCAATAAACAGTTTTTTGTGAGCCTTAATTTACCGCCAAACGCAGATCAAATGATGGTTTCGTTTGCCGAAAAAAAGGTTCTATCTATGATTAAGGATATTTACTCTTAGAGAAGGACGATGTTATTTAATTACAATGACCAAGTGTCAGCGATTGTGCAAATAAAAAAAAGAAGAAAAATCTTGTGGTTTCTACAATAACTTCAGTTAATGAAGGTCTCACGTGATCATATGTACCATCAAAAAAAAAAAAGCGTCCGTATGTAGATCGCAAGATCAATTTCGCGTAAAAATGTTGATTCCGAAAGTTAACAATATTTTAAGCTGGAGTTCTCGTAAAGGTCGGTAACTCGTGAATGTCAGTTAAAAAAAAAAAGATAGAAACTTGAAAATAATCTTTTGCATTTATTCTGCACATATTTATTTTTTTTAAAAAGTCACCAAATCTTTAAAAATTATCGGTTTTAGTAATTCACGATGTAACATGTCAACTATGTTCGATTTTAAAAATAATAAAGAAACCTTGATTAACGCGGCTACTGCCTCAAATAAAACATTACCATCAGAGAACCCTAATAATAGTTTTGTAAGTGAAATTTCACAGAGGTATTCCCAGGCTATTCTTCGTGAACCTTCGGATTCCGAAAAATCAAGATTTGACGACGGTAAATGGTACCACGATTAATGAAATTGGTCCTTTCTATTCTGGATTTGATTTTAATTACGTTAAACTAATTTCATTTATTTTTAATTGATAAAATCAGTTCCAGATTTCATTAAACAGACTGGTTCTTTGAAAGTTCTCTATGATACACCACATAAAATTTTAAATTCCCCTCCCTCTCCATATGACTTGACAATCAAATCTCTCCTAAAGGCCGGTCTTCATTTGGGCCATTCGAAATCGCTATGGAATCCTTCTACTTTTCCGTTCATATTTGGCGTTCGTCACGATATTAGTATCATAAACCTCGAGCATACTCTGATTTATCTACGCAGGGCATGTAAAGTTGTTCGAGACGTGACCTATCGTGGCGGTATAATTTTATTCATCAACACGCGTGGCGGGGGATTCGCGCATGCAACCATAAATGCCGCAAAAAGATGCAAGCAATATCAACTTACGTCTCGTTGGCTGCCGGGCACCTTGACTAATTCACAACAAATTTTAGGCCATTTGACGAAAAAAACCGACAAAGATTTACTAGCAAAAGTTCACACCCCCGACTTAATAGTGTTATTGAACCCTGTCGAAAACGAAATTGTGTTAAGAGAATCAAGACAAAGTAATGTTCCAACGATAGGAATTGTGGATACCGATTTTAATCCAATGAAAGTTGACTGGCCTATACCAGCTAATGATGACTCGGTTAGAGGTGTAGAGTTGATAGCGGGTGTGTTGAGCGTTGCCGCCAGAGATGGACTCTTGCACAGATATAATATTTTACGAAAATTAGCGGAAATAAAGGAAAAGGGAGGCAGTATTGTTGCGAAATCATAGAAGCGGTATATACAAGATGTAAAAGAATTTTCGTTCAGTCAATGATTTAGAATTGGTTAAATTATTTTTTATTTCAAAATAAAATTAAATAATCACTAGCTGAAATTTAATATAAAAATATTTTTATTTAATCACTGTACATATACCGCATATATGTGCATGTATTAGTATCGAATCAAATAAATTTTTTTTAATATCTTGACATTAATATTATTTTTTTTATTGATAAGTCAAAAACCAACCTAATTTTTTTTGATTAACTAATATTTTTTAAATAATCAATTAAGTATAATACTGTATGTGATATTTTATTATTATTATGATTTTTTAAGTAGATAAACATTGTTACTTTATTAAATTGTAAAATTGAAAATTTATTATATGAAAAAAGTAACAACATCTCTTATATGACCAATTGATCAATAAGTTTAATGCTAGCTTGCCTATGGTAACCTATCTAAGTATAAAGAAAAAAAATATATTAAAACAAATATACATGTATATCAAAGACAATGCCAAGCAATTATGAATATCTACTTAGATTTATATGTGAAAAGACTATATGAAATGAAATTAAAGAAAAAGAAAAAATATTAAGCAAAGAAATAAATACAAAAAAATTAATTGTAAAGCTATGGATACTTCAGATAAAATTATTAGGTGCATTATACTGGTAGTTTCATTAAATTGAAATATAGTGATTATACTTTTGGAAATAGTCAGATTACTGTTCAAAGTACAATATATAATAGTATTAACAATATATTTCTTTAATAGAAAATTGATTGTAATAATAGTATTGTTGTTATAATAATATAATTAATAATTGGTTTGTTTGTTAACAATATGATTTTATTTTAATTATTATTATTAAAAAAGATTTTGTTTATATTAATCAATATATAATATTTTGATTATATAAATTTGTTTAAATAATAGATAGTTTTTAATTGGTTGAATTTGAAATATTGATTAATTAATAGAAATAACCTAATTATGGTTTTTTGATAATATCTCAAGTTCTTTTTTCAATAAGTTATTTTGAATCAAAATCATATCTTTTTAAACTAAAAATAACTTATTTTTTAATATCTTAATAATAAATTTGAACAATTTAATTTTTTTGAATTTCATATTTTTAATCTTAATTTTAATAATAAAAATATTCTTTTGTATATTATAAGAAATAAAACTGATAAAAAACTTTCACCTGATCACTGCTGATTTTTTAAAAATTTTCTTTTTAGAAAATATTATTTCAAGAAACATTTCTTCTTCTTTATTTTCTTAAGGCAAATAAGCTTTAAACAAAAGGACATAAAGACTCAAAAAATACTGTTGCAATGGGATAGGATCTTTAATCAAGACCTAAGCAAGTTGAAAGTCTTCCTTAGCTCTTAGTTGCATGAGAAAGACCTGTGACATTTTTCTTTCATAATTTTTGTTTTTAAAAATCTTTCCTTTTATATGACCATTATAAATACCTTTCTTACTCTCCTACTCTTCTTTATCTCACAAATACAAACTCAACTACATATTCAAACATAGTTACTGAATCTAATATTTGTCTTAACACAATCTTTACAAATTCTTTATTTCTTTTTTCTTTCTCTTTCTATCAAAAACAATATTATATCTCACTCTTTTTCTTATTACTATCTTAAAATTTTTTCAACTAAATTAAAAACCATATTTAGTTTTACTTCATTAAAAGATCAACATATAATCAACAACCAATTAATTTTCTCACTCTCATAACAACAAAGTCAAACCTGTTTAAACTCATTCTCAACCAGTTTTTTCAACAAAAAATTTCCATATTAACAACAATAATTACAACAACAATAACAATAAAAATTACAATCAACTAACAATATATTGGATTGGAAGAGTATATAATTATGTCTTGTACAAGTTTCAATATTCTTTAACTAAACAAGTACCAAAACAACACAATAAGATTAAAACAGGCTCTATACTCAACTTACAAATATCTCAATTATATTACTAGCCTACAAATTACTTAACTCTTTACAATTATCATTAATAATAAAGTTGCAATCCACTAGTAATAATATTACCATTAAAGAAAAAAGGCAGCCTAATCCTAATCAATATGAATGAAAATAAAGTACTTTTGTTATAAGTGAAAGTAAAATATTAAGGAGTTGCATCTCATAATCTGGCAGCTTAAGTCAATGCTCTCTACTGCTGCTGGAGTCGTGTCCAGCTATCGAAAAGGAAATAGTAACCTAAATAGACACATTTGGTTTGTATCCTGTAAAAGGAATTGTTAACATATAAAATAATTGTATCCAAAACTTAACACATATCACCACTACTCCAATATCTCTTATTTTTAACTCTTTTAACTATATGCAATTTTCAAAAAGTAATTAACCCTGACTTTGAATTCAATGTATATAATAACTTCACATTAAAAAACTATTCTTTTTCAACTTACAATACTCTTATATTTTTTATTCACTATAGTGATCTTGCCTCTTAAATAAGGATCCTAATGATTCTCTTCGATTCTGTATTCGATTTTCAAGTTTATATTAAATTTAATAAGTGGGGTATACCCCACCATTATTTTTAATAGTGTTCCGAACCTCATGCGACTCTGTTCGATTCTATTTGATTCCAATTTTTGGAACCATACTTTTAAATTTTATATATAATTTATTTTATCTTTTTATATAGATAGTTCCTTTCTTAACTTTTCCTTGCTCAAGGGTTTTTTAACTAGAAATATATCTACTACAATAGATGATAGATTAATATATACTTAGTTCAACTTTGTCCATATATTTTATATCTTAGAATTAATTATGTAATAATAATAATTACGACATTAATAAAGATCATAAGACACGTCTCACCTTAACATAAAAAAAATAAATAAATAAAATTGGTATTTTCATTTTGTAGTTGCTTATACAGTTCCACTTCTATATAGTCACCTCCTATTAATATATATTTTTTTTATTTTTTTTTTTAAAGTGCACCAGCAATAATTGTCTGGCTGAGTATTTATTGAATAACGATGTTTACATATATCTTTTGACATTACTATCTAGGACTATGCTATAATGTATCGGTTGTTAACTATACCCAACACTTATCGGAATTGCTCCAAATAACAATGTTTGCTGTAGCTTGTTCCTAACTATATTAGGTATAGAGGCTAATTTACTGGACAAAGGTACTCCTTTGTTGGACCAGTAGCGTGCGTTTTCACTAGTAGTTGGACAGCTTTATTTCTAACTGGGGAGGAATTAAGGGGAAGTTGAAAGGGGGCACTAGGGGTAATATCTATGGCGAATAAAGCTACATGATCACTGCTTGCT